TGATTTAACATGACAGCGTCAGAAGGAAAAACAATGTTGCCAGTTCCACTGAATTTTCTTTTTCTGTTTTTTTATATTTATTTTGAAAAAATAGTCATTTTTAATAATAAAAATGCGTTGGTAATGTGTGAATGGGAAAACTAAAAAAAAAACAACAAAAGAGTGAAACAAAAGCAATCAAAACACGTTTAAGCAACCAACCCCACCAAATAACCACCTAACCAATTCATTAACACTCCCCAAATAACCAGGCTAACCAATGTATTAACACCCTCCAAATAATCAGGCTAACCAATGCATTAACACCCTCCAAATAACCAGGCTAACCAATGCATTAACACCCTCCAAATAACCAGGCTAACCTAATTGTGCCTAATGACAAAACTTCATTGATTACGCGTCGAAAAATAGTATATATTTAAAAATCTTATATTTTCCTATAACCTGAAAAATCCGCAAATTTTATTTCAGAAATTGCTTTAAAATAATCCACACTAACGAATAAGCTACTAGACAGCGTTCAAATTTTGTTGCACTAAAGTGATAGCTTACCCTAATTCGTATTAAAAGAGACATTTTAAAACCTATGACGTCATTTCTTTCCCTAAAAAAAAGATGCATGAATTTCCGGATAGTTTACTAGCTGATCTGACAACCATGTATCAATTCGCAATATTTGTCAAAACTCGACCTTCAATACTGTCGGCGTAAATTTGCCATAAAAATAAAATAACAACATTTTTAAGAATGTTTGTGATGTGAAACGTATTTTTCTACATCAGATTTTAGTCAAATAATCCAAGAAATTCATTTTAAGGTAACATAAGCTTCATTTTCTAGGAAAAATCGTGTGTCAGAATAGTTCACCGAAGCCCAAAGATTACTTGATGTCTTATTTTTCATGTTTTCTTTAAATGTTCCTGACTTTAAGAAAGAATGGCTGCATGATAAGTTTAAATGGTCCTAAAAAGTCGTTCTATTTAGTAAATGAAATTTATTTACCTTTACTGCCTACCTCCCTTAATTTTGGATGTAAATACAAAATATTATTACAAATTTTAGAAATTAAATGAGAATTTCACTCGAACTTCCAATATTTGCTTGATATCTGTCACATAAATGACATTGATTGATAAACAAAACCAGAAAAACCAGCCTTCTCGCGCTGGTTAGTTTGGTGACAGTTATAACCGAATTTTTCAGGAACCGTGTTCCGTAATAACAAAACTTTCAGGAAACCCATAGAAACGGAACATAAAACCATAACCAAGTTGAGCAACGGAATACAACCTAAATAGTTATTAGGCTGAAATAATAAATTTGGAAAAGTTTAACAGAAACTGTTTCATCATATTTTTTTCTAGAAAGATTTATGATCAATTTAAAAAAAGACTAAATGTTCCCGAAATTATCATTTCAAATAATTATCTAGTTAGTATGTTTATTTTTTGCCAATGATGACAAGAACTAAGATTATCCTAGAGAGGTTCACTGTCCATCTGACTGTTGATGTCTCCGTTGGCACCAATGGATTTCATGTTATTCAACGGGTGGCAGAAATTCCAATAATTTTGCTATGAAGTATTTGATAAATGAATATTATAATATTTGCTTAGCCAAACAAGTTAATGTATCAAATTTTTTATTAACTTGTTTCCTAAAATATTTTGATTTAAAGAAAAAATGTAAAAGTGGGCAACGCTGTGCCGGTCAAGCTTAACCCCGTGACTAAAATTTTATTTGATATGAATTATATTATTGCATTTTCATAATTTGACGATGGTATAAGCATTCAGAGTGGAATAATAAACTTTCATACTTCATCGATTATTAGGGAATCAATAATCATTAGTGAATTACAGTGGTCATTGGGTAAACATAATATATAGTCTGTGAAACGAATAACTTTGAATTTGACAGTTCCCGCGGGCTTTTCTAGTGTCAATTTTATTAGGTTAGCAACTTGCGGCCATGCTGACGCAATGCCGTCTCTAATAGAACAGCCTCGGAGCGAGATTTATTACGTCACGCTAGTTAGATACTACTGATTAATAAATATGTTGTAGAATACATGGAAAAGATAATTATTCCTCGCATTTTTGGTTTGTATTTTAAAAATGATATAGTTTACATGAAATATACATAATATACAGTTAATAAATGCAATACATATACCTATTTATAGTAATAAATACATTGGCAAATAAATTATGAACCATACAAATGCAGCAAATGTTTTACAATATACAAATAATGAATAGGTACATTGACTATTGCTGAAATCGTACTCCATAGTCAATGTAGATAGTTTTAGTGTTCAGAATAATAATCTTAAAAAATATGTGGTTATCTTTTGACAAGTTTATATTAGTTTATTAATTGCAGTAAACATTATGTGGTGTGTAGTGTGAATATTTTATATGAAATTTTTTGGATTATATTCGACACTATTTTTTTCATATGACACAACACTGATGAAGGTTATAATGTCAGCTGAAAGGTTTTTTTAAACCGAATTTAAATAATGAAAAACCAAATGAAAACTTAATCAGCGTTTTTCACGAAATCCCAAGAAAATCAAAAATTTTAGTATAATTTTACATATTATAAAATGACAGCGATCATTATTTCATAGCCTTTTTTCTATGATATTGTATTATTTGCTAATATAATATTTTGAACATTGATACTTGCAAAATATACATATAAATTTTGTGAATGCAAATAATAATATATCACTATTAGTAGATATTGCATGTTTTTTGTTAAATTAGATCGATTTTCAAACCCCAAAATTTAAAATATATTTTACATTTTACCCATTATCCTATGTACCTATTCATTATTTGTATATTGTAAAACATTAGCTGCATTTGTATGGTTTATAGTTTATTTGCCAAAGTATTTATTACTATAAATAGGTGTATATATTGTATTTATTAACTGTATATTATGTATATTTTATGTAAACTATATCATTTTTAAAATACAAACCAAAAATACGAGGAAGAATTATGTTTTCAATGTATTCTACAACATATTTTTTAATCCGTAGTATCTAACTAGTGTGAAGTCATAAATCTCACTCCGAGGCTGTTCTATTAGGGACGACATTGGTCTGATATTTAAAAATGTCAAAAGCTGATGACATTTTACTTTTGACAATTATGACATTTCGTGTTGATTTTTGTAAGAAGAGGAAAAACTGTTACTTGTTTTATTATTTTCCTTTTCTATTCCACGAAAGTAACAAGAGTTACCTATCTGATCCGTTCAGTAACTCTTTTTACAGAGAGATTTTATATTTGCTATGTTGGTAAAAAATGACGGTCAAAATTCAAAGTTATTCATTTTATAGACTATATTAAGGATGTAGGTATTAGTGAATGAACTAACAAGAAAAAAACCCTTTAGTTATGTTTCTATGTGCACCACTGGTTCTATTTGACCAGGACGGCGAGCAGGTGTCCATAAATGGACACTAGAAGGCCTACGCGGGTAGCAGAGCTCGTAAATTCGCCGGACTAACAGATTTGCGGTTATTTTTAGAGATTTTTCGTGATTTCGGTGGCCTATATTTTGTTCCTTTTTACCTTCCAAAAAGAAGTGCGTTTTTTAAAAATTGCGGTCAAGGATTTATGTAAAAATAATGGACGACGATATAGATATTATTATTGACCAATTTTATATATTATTAAAGTTACAGGGTGTTAAAATTTTTTAAAATAGGCTTTTTGTAATTATCTTAAATACCATTATTTTTTGGGGGAATTTGCTGTAGGTAGCACTGTATATCAGTGTTATATATTTTAATAAAATTTAGTAACAAATTTCATTAAATAAATAATTTATTAATTTTATTTTAATTTCATTGTCATTAATAAAATTGCGTTTATCTCACCGAGGAGATCGACATGGCCACAATATCAAAATACAACTTGTAATCGGCATTAAATGGCCTACACACTTTTGGTAATCATACCGACCATCATCAACTTAATTTTTTTAGCCGACCATACCAACAGGTATGGTAGGCTATTAAGATCGACAAAAAAAAGTTTTTTTAATCTCACTCAAAATGAGTTATTTGGATCATGAATGACCTAAATACAAAATATTTTCATGGTGTCTGTCTGTCCGTCTGTAACACGATTATTCAAAAACGGCTAAACCGATTTTAACCAAATTTGGCAAAAATACTGTGGCACCCGAAAATCTGGCCATTAGTTTTTGATGGGGGTGGGGGGTCGGTAAGGGGGTATGGGAGGAGTTAAAAATTTTAAAAAATTGTAACTCTAAATTTACAGTAGCTAGCGAAACGCGGTTTTCAATTTAAGATTAGGAATAATATTTGCAACAAAATCAAAATCATCAAAATCAGTCAAATCAGTTTTTGAGATATTCCGTGTTTCCGTAGTCCGTTTTTGAGAAAATCCGTGTGGATAACTCCAAACTCCCATCGAATGCAACCCCAGGTGGCGGATAGGGGAAATAATCGCGGACCAAAATTGGAAAAATTTCTTTACTTTGAAACTAAAAGAACTGCCTACCAACTTTGTATTAACATACTTTAGTATGGGCGGCTATACATGCCTCCCAGCGGCAATTTTTAAATACGGAGCTGATTTTTTTTCAATTTAATTAAATCCTTTCATCACTCTTAAAACACTATATATAGTCACTTTGATATTTGCCGACGTTTCATACAGAAAATTCTATCACCAGAATATTTTATGCAAAAAAAAATAAAAATGCAATACGGCATTTTATTGAGCATCAAATTGCGCAACTTTGCCTCCATTTAACCGATCCTGTATCTCTTAGGATTTCTGAAATCCCAATGATGAGCGTCGAATTCGAGCCACCCTGTACACAAATTATTTTTATTTTAATAAATATTCAGCTGATAGGATTCGAATCCACAACCTTTAGATTGTACCTCTACGTCACCGGGCACCTAAGTAAGTTAAATATAAGTTAGTAAAAAGTTTTCAACTTACCGTATCAAATTTGTTATCAACTTGATCCCTCGTCTTCTTTTCCTTCACCATAGCCTTCTCCTTCTTTTTCTTGTTATCCCTCATAAACAACGATTTAACCTATAAGAACAAACCATCCATTATTACCCTATCTACCCCTTCCATCTTCCTTCTCCATCTTACCTTCTCCAATCCACTCTTTTTCTCAGGCTTTGGTGGTTTCTTCTCCACCCTCTTCAACGTCGTTGTAGACCGTTCAAGCTCCTTATCCAGACGAGGATCAAAATGGGACCCGTCGTCTATGCTGCGCTCCCGCGGGATGTACCTGGGAGTATCCCTGCTGTCCCCCAATCGGTACGACTCGTCTTCTTTCGGGTAGTTCCGGTCGGAATCGTAGTCCCGACGAGACTTTCTCGCTAGGCTGTCGTCGGTGTGCTGCTTCTCGCTGGCGATCAGCAGAGAACTGGCAAAACCTAGTCAAATTATTTTTTTTAAATAGAATAACCCGTTGTAGGATTATAACACATTCTACACTATGCGGAGAATAGACTGAAACAGGTCAATGTCGCGTTTTGTCTTATTTCGTTACTTCGGTTTGTTTCGACCTAGTTTCGATTCTTAAAAGCGCCTTAAAACTAATTGCGTGAAATAAAATAGTTCGGTATCTATACCCGAGGCAACGGACTTTTTTTCATAAATCTCAGTGAAATAAGTAAACCTAGACGTTTCTAAAATATCTGTTGGTGCGATGATATTTCGTTAATTTGAACACGGGTTTATAATAACTTTTAACTTAATCTATAGGAATAAAATTACAATACTTTTGTTATTTAATTTTATTATAAAGAATTAGTTTATAAAATTGTATATGTGTTATGTTTGTTCACGCGGCCTTAATTGATTAATAGGTACTGTATGATCGAATAAAAATGGCGTCAGTGATGGCTATGGAATGACGATCGATGACATTTCCCATCAAACAGCGATCTTCATTTCATAGCCATCTTTTGAAAGTTTTGTGTAACTACCGTTATTTATAAGATCTGTAATTTTGTTACTATATTCGTCTAAATCTATACAACTACTGTAGCGTTACCGTTGTCTGCTTGTAATATTTTAATTGTTTTGTCTGTTTTTAAATTTTTAATAGCTAACCTTTCCTCTCTATTAGTATTAGGTTTAAACGTAATAAGTCTTTCTAGAATAATTTTTGACCTAACACGATATTCATCCGCGAGTTCTAAAGGTAATTTTTGTGCTATATTTTCAATAGCAGAAACCAAATCTAATTTTGAAACGTTTTTATCAGTTACGCTAAAATTTAAACCTTTTGGTAAAACTGATTTTTCAGAGTTAGATAAAACTCTTTTAGAAAGGTTAACTACGGTTTTATTAATAAGTTCATGTTTATTTGTAATATTTTGATATATATTTCTTTCATTAATCATGTGTATAAATTTAGTAATATATTTTTGTTTTTGTATATTAGAATGATACAAATAGCTATTGTGTACTATTTAGAATGTGTGCAAAATCTATGTTTAAAACTATCATCCCTCGGTATTTTTTTCTTTATTCGATAGGAAATGGCATATCATATGACAACCTTTTCGCATATGGCTTATTTGAACGACAATTTGACTCAAAATATCAAGTGTGCGGTACCAAATTATTCGTAGAAAAATGCTTTGTCCGAATATGCTAATGAGCCACCCTCGTTCCATTTGAAAAAATTGAGATATGGTTAAAAATACGCATCTTTTAATAGGCATCTTTTAACTGGCAAGGACAAGACACTAAACACATTAGACGATCAAATCTATTTTCCAAGGCTTCTTGATTAAAAATTAGTGTTTTAAACACAGCCATGGCATTCTAGATTGAAATACGATGTTTTTTTTAAGTGAATATGTCAAAAGTTGACATATGATCTGTCGTTCTATTCAGAGTGTCATTTTCTATCAAAAAAGTAAAACAATGCGGAGGATGCCATTTAAAAATCAAAAGTTTTAGTCATTTCCGGTAAAACAGGAAGTGAGCGAAAACAATTGAATACGTAAATCAATCCTGATCTATGTCTTATACTAACATACCAAATATCGTTTTTTTATCTGAAAGAATAAAAAAGTTATAGGAGGTGAGCCACTTTTGAGACGCACCCGGTATAATAATATGGTTTGATATAAATCCATTCAAACATAAGAAATAATATACTGTGGTTAATAAGCTGCTCTATCGAATTGATTTATCGAAAATGTTCCAGTACTAATAAACTTATTAGTAGAACCTTACCTTCATCCTCACTATCATTATACACTTCTTGCCGATTCCTGGATTCTCTCGACGTTCCAGAACTCTTCACCTCCCTCCCATCCTCCACCAGATCCAGATGCCTCTCAGACCTGAACTTCCTCCCCACATTTCTACTCTGAATCTTCTCCCCTCTTGGGAGAGACCCATGGTAAGCGTGCCCCACATTCCTCGCTTCCAAATGCCTTATTTCTGGAGTAGATTTATAAACGTCCCTATCTTTGGATAGATGAGGTTTTTCAGGACGATACGACCTATAATCACCGGTGCTATGTTGAGAGTCGAAACTGTCAAATCCGTTTGAAAGATTGTCTTGGGGTTCACCGAAATATTTCTTTGTTCGTGACTCCGTACGTCGTTCTCCGTATTTGTCTCTGTGGCTGGTGGATATGTATTTTTCCTTGAAGCCTACCGGACTGGTGGAGCCGCTTCTGTAGTACTTTGAGGAGGATTCTGTGATGTATACGTTATTTGTAGGTCCAGGTCTCGAGGAGGGATGTTCTGGAGAAGGTGTTGCAGTTTTATCGCTCATTCTCCGGTTCATTCTGGACTCAAGAAGGTTTCTTCTCGTAGCCAAGTCTGTCCTGTGAGGAATAATATCGTTTTCTTGTTCCGTTAGGCTTTCGCGTCTTTTTGAATCCATTCCATCAGCCCTTCCGCGCTCGGCAAGTCCAGTGAAGCCATTAAGTGAGACGGGGTTACGATATTTGGGCAAGATGGGGCTTTCGGCTTTGTATTTGTCGATTTCGTCGAGCAGTTGCTCGGTGTAGCTGTCGAAACTGTCGTCCCCGAAGTGGGTACCGGACTTCCGGGTGATGCCGGAACCTTCCTCACCCCCGAGGCCTTCATCTGAGTCGGATTGGGGCTGGCGACGGCCGTTGGTAAAGGCGGTGTGGACCGTTTGCTTTCCATTGGCTGGAAAGAAGAAGATAAACAGTATTAAAAAAGTTTAATTGGTATGAAAATATATATCATATTCAAATTTATAATTTTGGTACGTTTTATAATTTGGTAAGTTTCTTATCTGACGTAATTACTGTATGTCCAGATAAGTTTTATACCGTTGTTGGAAACATAGGAAGTCCCATACAAATTTTAGACTGGCCAAATATTGGCTCCCCTATTGATTTGACAGCGAAGTCGTAAATCTATACTAATATATAAAATCCTTAAGTGACTGACATACGGATTAATCACGATCCTGCTCAAACCACTCAACGTAAGAAACTCAATTTTGGCATGTAGGTCGATTCTAGGGTGTAGAGGTTCGATAAGAAGGGATTTTTCGAAATTCCAGTTCCAAGAGGGTGAAACCACCCTTCAAATATTACAATATTTTTTATTTAAAAAACGGTCAAGTTTCCGAAAAAACGCTTAAATACGTATATTTTATTTTGTTTTTTTAAATGTTTTAAGATTTTTTAAAAATGTATACAGGGTGTTTCGAAAAATCTGGTCATTGATTAATCACGATCCTGCTTAAAGAGCTTGACGTAAAAAGCTGATTTTTGGAAAACAGACTGACTTTAGGGTGTGGAGGTTCGATAAGAAGGGATTTTTTGAAACTCGAATTCTAAAGGGGTGAAACTATCCCTCAAATATTAAAATATATTTTTTTTAAAAACCGGTGAGTTTTTCGGAAAAACTCTTAAACACGTATATTTTATTTTGTTGTTTTACATATTTTAAGATTTTTTATAAATTTATACAGAGTGTTTCATAAAATATGACCATTGAGTAATCACGAATCTGCTTAAACTGCTTGACGCTTAAAGCTGATTTTTGGTAAACGGATTGACTGTGGGGTGTAGAGGTTTGATAAGGAGGGGTTTCTCGAATCTCAAATTCCAAGAGGGTGAAAACGCCCCTCAAATATTACAACATTTGTTATTTAAAAAATGGTTAGTCTTCGGGAAAACGCTTGGACAAGCATAATTTATTTGGTTTTTTTACATATTTTGAAATTTTTTAAAAAAATATACAGAGTGTTTCAAAAAGTTGTGTAATTTCTTAACCACGATTCTGCTTAAACTGCTTGACGTAAAATGCTTATTTTTCGGAAGTCAAATTCCAACGAGATGAAACTACCATATTGTTTTTTCTCGTGCTGACATAAATGTGAGAAAATTTTATCCAGTTTGTATGTTAATGGAAATTCTTGCTTTGCTTTATCATCACCATTACAAATGATTAATTCGACGCGAACGAAGTCGCGTGTACACGCTAGTAAGTTTTATAAAGGTCTGGGTATGCTGAATACACATGTCAAATTTGAACAATTTTGGACAAGCTGATTTTAACTAATTTAAGAAAAACACTTATTTTTAAATTAAAACTGAAAAGGTAACATGAAAAACCAGCAAATGTCAACCTATGATTGAATGCAATTTGATGTGCTGTCTACGCTACTATAACGTATTTCTATGGTAACATAATTTCGTTTTCATTCTTTGATAGAGTGTTATTTGTAGAATTTTAATTAACGTGATATTTTTTGCTGTCTTAAAATGTTAAACAAGCACCACATTTATTTAGTTCAATGCTACGGAAAGAGTGATGATAGTTATCGAAACATGTGGTACTTTAACAAAAGAACGCCTTTTGACTTTTAGGAAAATTCAACCATATTTTTATGTTTTTCTTAATTTTCGCTAAAATATGGAAATTTCGAAAAATACAAACGGGATCAACTATTTTAAAACAAGTAAAAGTTTTTATGAAGAATACATTTTTCTTAAAATGTCAATAATAAATTAGTTTTTTTCCTCTTGTAAAGACAATCCGGGAACATACTATATATTTTATTATTTATAATTAATTGCCTTAATTGTAATAGAGGTAGTGTGCCGTTTTTGAGTTTTATTTGAACCAATTATTAAAATTATTTTGTCTGCAACGCCAGATAGACGGTAATTCTAGTTTTTTTAGAAGGAACTATTTCCATAGTTCTGGTTCCTCTAAAGGAACAGTTCCTTGAACTTGTATGATCTGTATACTTTTTATAATGTACGAAATATTGCGATACGTGTAAAATAAAATTATATCGGTAAGTTTATTGCAGATAAAAACAAAAAATTAAAAAAAAAACTCAAATCAGAGTTTAAAAAACTATATCACAAATCAATTGGAGCCAATAATAAAATACTTTATTTCCATAGCAACTGTTAAAATTGCCTAATATCTATCAAAAATAGTAGATAAAATAGTACTTTAAACACAAGGGTAGATTAAATGATACTTTAACAGTTTTTAATTGCTTCCATTTTTGAAAATTTTTGTATTCCTTTTCATTATTTATTCGGGATTTAAATGGAAGTAGTTTGGATATGGCGTTTGTCGCCTCATCCTGGATATCTGTTGGTAATTTACTTATTTCGTTTTGAGTCATTTCTGGCTCCAATTCAATCAGCAATCGACACGAAAGAGAATTAAAAAATATCAATAGCAAAATATCCTTTTTATCCATAGCAACTGTTAAAACTGCCTTATATCTATCAAAAATAATAGATAAAATAGTACTTTAAACGCAAGGGTAGATTAAATGATACTTTAACAGCGAGGATATGTTAAATCTTTATTTCTTCTCGCACGTTTTTAATTGCTTCCATTTTTAAAATTTTTTGTCGCCTCAGCCTGAATATCTGTTGGTAGTTTACTTATTTCGTTTTGAGCCATTTCTGGCTCCTATTCAATCAGCAATCGACACGAAAGAGAATTAAAAAATATTGACTCAAAACTGACAACTAAAGAGACAGCTTTATTTATTTGTCAAATTACATAGAGACCAACGCCAACCCAGCACAATATTTTTAACTCGCTATGGAAAAAAATATTGTTTTATACACGACGATAAAATTGCATTATCGTCTCCCGAAATTAATTCACTCGCGATTTCGTCGCTCGTGAATTAATATTGTCGGTCGACGATAAAATACCATTTTATCGTCTTATATAAAAAATTACTAAATACTGACACATGTAGGTGAAGCTAAATGATAAATAGAAGGTATTTTTCTTAATTAAAATTGCATTTTTTCGTCACTTTATTCTTTATTTTTGTCTAAAAAATCAGAATATCTATTTCGTTATATAAGATATTTCTTAATTTGAGGAACATAAGGTCAAACATACACCAAACGCTCGATATTTGATTATTAATTAGTTATTTGTGGCATATTTCACTATTTTACAGTTCCATATTAAGACAGCCTTGAAGTACGACATATTTAATAAGAATTATTTTATATAAAAAAGGTAGGTACTTACTCAGACCGTTGCCGTTATTGTTGCACACCACTTGGGCATAAATGACGGGTTTAGTACCGTTAGGTGCCAGGTTCTCGTTGGACAGACACTTGTCCGGGCTGAGACCCCTAGTGTAAGAAAAAGGCTGGTTGTTATTGTGCTGAACGGAAACGTTCGGCGATATAAGCACGTGAGTGCGCATGTGCGGCGGTGATGCGCACGTGTCGCTGCTCAGTCGTTTCACCATGGTGTTTACCGTTCTCCCTGCAAGAAAAATGAGCAAATTAAATATTGGTTATACAGCAGAGTATTGTGGTTAAACGATTAGATTTTTTCAAATTGTAAGTTTTGGGTTTGTTGCAGGACTATTAGAGTTATAATTTCAAAATATTGTTACAAGATACAGAGTGGCCCAAATAAAAAAAAAATATCAAAGTTGTATTTTTTTAAACGGAACTCCCTGTATATTCATTTCTCCAGGCGTGTTTAAGTTTCTAAAACCAAATATTGTAATGAAGACTGAAGTGTTTACAAAATATAACTATTTTATTTTGTAGATTTTCTTACAGTGGCGAAATACCCATAGCACTTTTTTGGAGAGATCTCTTAATTGTTCTTTACTGAAAGTTTTTTCTGTAACTTAAATATATAAACCTAGAACTTCTAGAATCTATTATTGACCTACATCCCAAACAAACAAAAATATGTGACCTTAAACAAACAGCTTTAATCGCAAGTTCATTAATAATAAGTCGACAAGGAATTTATTTTCATATTGGTATAGGCTTGGATAAATCTTCTTCACAATGGAATATCAATTCTTCACATTTAATGCTAATCCCCTAATATGTTTAAATTTGTAATTTGTTATTCATTTGATGACCCGTGAGGTCTTCAGTGACATTCGATTTAAATAAATAATGACTCCAAGAAATGTTTAACAAATATACTGTTAGTTTATTTCATATAATATTTCAGTATTTTTTTTCTATAATCAACTTTGATTTATGTAAATTTTATTCTTGGAAGATCCAGACGTTTAGGGTATCTTTATTAAAATTAAACGATGAAGAATCTGTTAAAAATTTGATTTAAATGGTGATTCATGTAGCAGTATATTAATGAGACTCTAATAGCTCTTGGAACATTTGTTAGTGTCACTTATTCATTGAATAATCACATTTTTAGGATCATGGTTTCTAAACGGGCTCAATTATAACTAGTTTTGTTCTCAAAAACAGAAACATAAATATGTTTTCCAATGAAACTGTTTATATGAAAGTCGAATTCCACCAAACCGAAACCGCGTCTTTTGTTTTGATAACGTTTCTTGTAGTTTTTACTAGACAAACAGTTTTCATGATGTTTTTTTATCTTTATGATTTATTTATTAGGGTGTCTAGATTCTTTATAGTCCCAAGTATCAAGTATAGTTGTTGAGTCTCTCTCACAAATGCAGGATAGTCTAGGGTATTGGAAGAGTTAATTTCTACAGCCAAGCAAAAGGAACTCTTTAATCTTTCCTCCTCAGAATCTTGTCGCTGCCGCTGTTTTGTTCATTTGTCTTATTATTAAAACTATTTAAATTTACTTATTAATAAAAAAAATGATTTTTTGCTTAAATTTTGAGTACCACTGTATCTTTTCTGGTTTTCCTTCCTTGTAAATTTAATCTGCTACCTACCTATGTTGCCATTTTATCAAGCAAAAAAATGTTTTTAACTAAAAAATAAAAAAATCCATTTTTGTTTTCAAAAATTCCAATAAAAAAACTCCAAATTTTCAATTTTTTTTCACGAAAAAAAAATTCATAGACGTATTTTTGGGGTCGAAATATACTACCACTAAAATATTAGCCCTTTTTTAAGACTGGCCCTGTATAAGTAGAAAAGATATGTTAGACTTGTTTTACACTTTTTTGAAAAATTATAGTTTCTATGAACTAACTGACATGAAATCAAAACCTTATTCATATATTATATGAATAAGGCTTTGATTTTGATGAATCTTATTCATATATTATATGAATAAGGCTTTGATTTGATGTTAGTTAGTCCATCCATTGATGTTAGTCTACAACCTTATTCATATATTATATGAATAAGGTTTTGTTTTTGATATGTTAGTTAGTCCATAGATAATTTTTCAAACAAGTGCAAAACAAGTCTAAAGTTGTTTGATGCTTGATAACAAAGTACCGTATGATCGAAAAAAAAACGGCGTCCAGTTGGCTGGGAAATGACGATCGATGACATTTCCCATGTAAATTTACATATAAAGTGACAGCGATCTTCATTTCATAGCCATCGCTGACGCCGTTTTTTCTCGATCATACGGTAATTGATGATTTTGAATATGTCTCTTTTGACATCATATTAGATATTCATATTGCTGTCTATTTTTTTTATCAAATTTCGATAAAACTATTAAAAATAAAGTTACGTGTGATCTATTTCTGAAACTAGAGAACAATCAATATGATTCACTGCTAATATACAGGATTAAGCTTGATTTTCATGCATCCGTTGTCCGACGATACGATGATACGATATTAATTTTATTGGTTGAATTTAAAGACTTCTATTGGTTAGAAAAGGATTGAAGCCTTTAAATTCAACCAATAAAATTACTATCGTATCATCGGACAACGGATGCATGAAAATCAAACTTTAGTCCCATGGAAACAAATAGTTTATTTCAGTAAGTTTGACATTTGATAACTTTTGGTATCTTTGGTAATACAAGGGTAATACGTACAGGGTATCCCATTTTGGTTGAAATCATACGGTATCTCCGTTATTCGTGAAGATAGAAGATGGACAACTGAACTGATGAACAAATGGAAGATGCCGTTAACAAAATTTTCTTTGCCCTCTTCGTTTCTGAGCTACAGGGTCTTTTTGAAAATTTTGCAACTTGGGACACCCCCCGTATCTCTGTTATTGTTAAAGATATTGAGACGGTGAAAAGTGTTATTGTAGAATTTTTTACGTAGAATACAGTGGTGTAGTGTGTTATTCTACGAAAATAATATTTTTAAAAATATGAACTAAAGTTATGTTTTATTAAATGGAACACCCTGTATATTTATGAATTATATGATCTGGCTTGTTATAAGCTTCTCAAAAATATATAACACTCTATATTTGTTTTCAATATTTAAGGCAATATTTAAAAAAAACATATTAAAAGATCATTTTTTTTAGTAGGCCATGATTGATAATAAAAGTTGCTTGTTAAAATACTGCTATCTGTCTCTTGTTTTATTTTGAGAGCCACTAATTAATTCTTTGTATATTAGGGAAACTTAAATCTCTACCGCTCTTTGTAAATCTTGGAAGCTATCGTATCGGAACTTTTAAATATTCCTTTAGCTAATTTACGTGAAATATACTTTCAGCAAGATGGGGCTCCCCTCACAACTTAACTTACAACGAAAATATTAGAATTTTGTTAAATTATTATTTCTCAAATCAATGCATTGGAACCAATGTACCCATATGATGGCCTCCTTGATTTCCGGATTTGTCTGTTCTCGATCTCTGATTTTGGGGATTTTTGAAATATGAAATATATCGTGGCAACTAATACGATGTTGAACACCTGAAAAATGCTTCGATAATGCAAGCTTTTAAATGTTTGCAAACCCATCCCATTATAATAAATTCCGTTATAAAAAAGAGAAAAATATATTTAGAGGTTCAGTGGTAACAGTTCAAAAGTAAAATATATCAATTCCAAATAAAATTTTAATATGTGCATGTCTATTTTAGTAAATACCATTTTGATTTTGTTATGTGTGAATGATATATTAAGAAAAATGATATATTTTAAATATAGAGTATATATATATATATATATATAAATATTGCAGTAAATAGTGTATATATATAAATATATATATATATATATATATATATATATATATATATATATATATATATATATATATATATATATATTTGAGAAGCTCATATCAAAGCTGATCACATGATTTATAAATATACAGGGTGTTCCATTTGAAAAAACATAACTTTAGTTCATATTTTCAAAAATATTTTTTTCGTACAAAAACAGATTACGCCACTATATTCTACGAAAAAAGTTCTACAAGAATCAGTTTTCACTATTTCGATATCATACATAATAACGGAGATACGGGGGCGGTCCCAAATTGCAAAATTTTCGAAAAGACCCTGTAGCTCAGAAACGAAAAGGGTTATAACAATTTTGTTGACAGCATCTTCCATTTGACAAAAAAGTGGCACAGATTTGTAAAAACCGCACCCTTCACGAAAAACGGAGATACCTTATGATTTCAACCAAAATGGGACACCCTGTACATATATATATAAAAAAATTGACTAAAAACCTATTATTTTTATTTCAATGAATGTTCTATATCCAGAAATAAAAAAAAGTTAGAGCTTGTGCTAGTGGGAAACCCACACTATAACTTAATTAATAATAGGGATAACTGTTTATCTATAGTTCATACCAATTAAACTTTTAATCACGTGATTACGATTGACCGGCACAGCGTTGCCCACATATTTTCTTTAAATCGAAGTATTTTGAGGAAACAAAAATAAATTAATTATAAATATATAACAGTTATTATTTACATCAATAAAACTGACCTCCTTAACAAAACTTAAGGAATACAAAGGGTCATTACTTCCGCTCTCCTATTCAAAATATTCTAATATAGTGGCGATGAGTTTTTTATGGCTGTTAAGCTATATCTTGTACACTTCACACTAAAAGACGTTCTAAAAAGAACAATATTCTACTGCAAAATCTGCTAGTAAACGTTTTTAAGCTTAAAGTATCGCAACACAATTCATTTAAACGAAAAAGCTCGTAATACAAAACTAAAGTGTTAAAACGAATGACAATGTCAGGGAATAAATAGATAAATATGGCAACTTGATATTTTTTACAGCAGAGCTACCACCTGAATCCCCAGCGGGAAATTTAAATTCCAGTCAGCTCGGCGCCGAATATATCCATGGTTGGCAACAATGAATTTAAAAATCGTGCCCTCGATTACGTAACTAAAAGTTTAATTGGTATCGATTATATATTTTTAATTAGGTAAAATAAAAAATACACATTACCTTTAGTTAAGGGCAGTTTCTCAGCAGGTTGCTGACTACTATGAATCATATTCGAAGGTTCAACTTTCGGTTCTTCTAATTCTTCAACTTCGACACTTGCAGACCTCCTATTCCTTTTTTCTTCCGCCCTATTTTCTACCCTCGACGACTCATTTTCGACTCTTCTTGGCAGACTTTTACCAGTCCCAAATCCATCTCTATTCTTCCCAAGTTGGTCATCTGATTTGGGCTTTTTGTTGGCGAAAGATTTGAGTTTTTTTGTCAGGCCGAAATTGAGTTTGGATTTTTTACCGTCGGATATCTTTTCAGCCTTGTCCAAATCGATAATGACCGGTACGGGGGGATTTTTCTTGGGAGCAGGGGGATTTTTCTTGGATATGGGTGGATCTTTTTGGGGAGAAGGGCTGGATATTCGAATGCCGGTCTCCTTGTACAGTTGCTCGTCGATTTCGTCGATGTAGTCTTTCAGTTGATCGGTTATGCTTTCGGAAGGTTTTTTCTGTAAAGATGAGAAAATTTAGATGCAGATTAATATAGTTATTTTGTGTTTAACTTTAAGAACTATTTTTAAGTAAAGATAACAAGAAATATATTTTATCATAACTGTGTTAATGGAAATATCAATAAAGGCTATCGAAAAAGCAAAGCCACTATCGAAGTACTTTAAGCGATGGTTACAGTATCAGACAAATAATATACAGAGTGTTTCAAAAAGTATATGCCATCTCTTGTGGGGAGATTCCTCATGTAATATAAGGTCTATTTTTGATAGCAACATAAGTCTGATTGTGCTTTGCTTTGACTTTTGCTTTCGGTCACTACTGACTTTTTTCTCTGGATAGCAAAATTGTGTAGCCCGTTTAATACCGAATAAAAGGTGTATCTTGGATGAGATAAACGTAATTTTATTAATCGCAATTAATAAAATTATAAAAAAATACAATTAATAATGTATTTATTTTTTCCATAGCAACTGTTAAAATTGCATTATATCTATCAAAAATAGTAGATAAAATAGTACTTTAACCGCAAGGGTAGATCAGGGTAGATTAAATGATACTTCAGCGAGGATAGGTTAAAAACTTTATTTCTTCTCGCACGTTTTTTAATTACTTCCATTTTTGAAAATTGTTGTATTCCTTTTCATAAGTTATTCGTGATTGAAATGGAAGTAGTATGGATATGGCGTTTGTTTGGTTTGTCTCAGCCTGAATATCTGTTGGTAATTTACTTATTTCGTTTTGAGCCATTTTTGGCTCCAATTCAATCAGCAATCGACACGAAAGAGAATTAAAGAATATTGACTCAAAACTGACAACTAAAGAGACAGCTTTATTTATTTGTCAAATTACATAGAAACCAACGCCAACCCAGCACAATATTTTTTCTACTCGTAATAAATTCCTTGAAATAATAATTTCTGAATATTTTTTAAAACATAACTCGCTATGGAAAAAATATTGTTTTATACACGACGATAAAATTGCATTATCGTCTCCCGAAATTAATTCGTAAGCGATTTCAAGACGATAAAATACCATTTTATCGTCTGGTATAAAAAATAACTATTGATCTATTTTATTAATTATACATTTATAACACTGCTGTTCGGTGTTACCTACAGCAAATTCAAGAAAAAAATAATAGTTTTTAAGGTAATTATTACAGAAGACCTATCTTTTTAAAGTTCTAACATGCTGTAGCTTTAAAACTGTGCATTTTTGAATCCATGTTTATAGGGACTTTTTTCACATTTTTTGATGAGGAATCAATGAATACTTACTTTACACTTTAGCCTACATTAAAAAAATCAAAGGTTACTATTAGTCTTGGATTAAGGAAGATTAATAAAATTCTGTTTATTTCATCAATGAGACTGAAATCGACAAAAAATGACACTTTTTAATCGGCCTACATAACAGTGTTTACAGGTACCAACTAAAATAAGACTAATAATGAAACTAAATGTGACTGAACTGAGACTAGGAGGGAAGTTACTTCCCCCACTTCACACTTGTTTTATATTATATATATATATACACACACAAAATCTAGGGATATCATTTTATTAAAGTTAAAAATAAATGTTTTGAATAAACAACCACATATTTGTAGGCCGATTCTTTCTACTTCGATTGAAACGAAGTAGTCACACTAGTTATTTCTAAATTTGGGATATTTACAGAAGTGTTTGTGCATTTTTTGTCAAATGTATAAAAAGCACCTAGCATCAATTGTTCGAATTTAACCTGTACTGGCTATGTTTTTATGATAACTGACCAGAATTCATTCAAATAACTAAAATAAGACTAATAATGAAACTAAATGTGACTGAACTGAGACTAGGAGGGAAGTTACTTCCCCCACTTCACACTTGTTTTATATTATATATATATATATATATATATATATATATATATATATATATATATATATATATATATATATATATATATATATATATATATATATATATATATGCTGGCCACACACAAAAAATCTAGGGATATTTATTAAAGTTAAAAATAAATGTTTTGAATAAACAACCACATATTTGTAGGCCGATTCTTTCTACTTCGATTGAAACGAAGTAGTCACACTAGTTATTTCTAAATTTGGGATATTTGCAGAAGTGTTTGTGCATTTTTTGTCAAATGTATAAAAAGCACCTAGCATCAATTGTTCGAATTTAACCTGTACTGGCTATGTTTTTATGATAACTGATCAGAATTCATTCAAATAACTCTGTTTAGTATTAAACGACATTATGGAGCGTAGACATCTTCAACAGAGACGAAATGCTAAGGGCCATGGGTATGCTCGAAGCTGGAATGCGCCAAATCGACGTAGTTAGAGCATTAAATACAACGCAAAGTATAATATCGCGATTAAGTGCAGGCTACCGTGAAAGTGGTGATGTTGCTGAAAAGCACACAGGGCGACATCGCATTACTACCCCTCAGCAAGATCATTTTTTACAATTAAATGCTCGACGCCGACCGACTCTTGTAAAAGTAGCTGTAGCACCAGAGCTTAGTTTAATTCTCCGGGAAACACATAATGTAACTGTTAGTCCTGACACTGTTCGCAACAGATTAAGATAGGTCAACTTAAGAAGCAGACGCTCCTGGAGAGCTCAACCCTTAACGAGTGGAAATCGAGAGGTACGATATTTGTGGGCTCAAGATCATGTTCAGCGGTCGAATGAACAATGGGCCAATGTTCTCTTCACGGATGAGTCACGCTTTGGAATTCATCCGGATTCGAGAAGGCTTAGGGTATGGAGAGAACCGGGAAATCTTATTCGGTTGGATCATGTTCAGGAAGTGCAACCTTATCAAGGTGGAACAGTTATGGTCTGGGGAGGAGTCCAGTTAGGCCGAAAAACCGATCTCGTTTTTCTTGAAAGGTTTCTAACAGGAACCACATATCGTGATTTAATTCTAGAGCCTGTCGTGTTACCATATGCCAATGATTTTGGGAGAAACTTCATTCTCATGCATGACAATGCACGGCCTCATACAGCCAGAGTGGTAAATGTGTTTATCAATGCTCATCAATTAAACATCTTACCCTGGCCGGCACAATCTCCTGACCTCAACTCCATCGAGCACGTATGGGACGCGGTCCAAAGAAGAATTTTGAGAATAGGTATGCCTCATGAAACTCGTAGGGATCTGGTTCGGGCCGTGAATGCAGCGTGGCAGGCTGTACCTCAAGAAGAGATCGACAACCTGATCAGGAGCATGGAGAGACGATGTAGGGCTGTAATGAACAGTAGAGGAGGCCATATCCTTTATTAAGTAAAAATGGTTTTATCTTTTTTTTTAATTCACAGTTTAGAATAAAAAAAAATGTGTGTATTTTTTTGAGTTCAATAAAAATCAAGGTAAATTTGAAAAATTCGGTAAATTTCGCATTTTGATTTCCAATACGTCCTGTAAACTATTTTTTATTTTAATTTTATTATATCAGAAATGCAAATAATAAAATTACTGACGATGGCTGGATAAAATTGTAATATTCCTAGACTTTTCCGGTGTGTCTATATATATAATATTATATATATATATATATATACTGACGATGGCTGGATAAAATTGTAATATTCCTAGACTTTTCCGGTGTGTCTATATATATAATATTATATTATAATTATAATAAAAAATGGTGTAGTGTAAGTAAATTACCTGGATATTAGCTGTGTTAGTATTCTCCTTGTCCACTCCCTCTTCGACAGGCAGAAAATAATCCTCCCTCTGTGAAACCTCGATAATCGGAGAGAGCTGCTTCTTCGTCACACTCTTCCTACCACTTTCCTCGTTATCACTAGAAGCTTTCTTCGCAGTACTCCTCACACTATCTTCCTGTCCCTTCACTGACTTGTTCCTCAAAGCGGAAGCGTCACTCACGCTCCTCCTCAAATTCGATTTCTTCTTCGGTTCGGTTGATTTCTTGAACAGATCGAAGATGGAAGGCTTCGAGGAGGTATTTTGGGAGGATGCGAAGGTTCGTGGAGGTTTTTTGGGAGGTTGCAGTTCGAGGGAGCCTCGTCGCTTGACGCTGCGTCGGTCAAGGGAGCTTGAAGGGTAGTCCGGCTTGGGTGTTAGTTTGGATTTTTTTCGGTGGGGTAGACTGAAGAATCGGTCTGGGGTTGTACCTAAAAGAAAAAAAAGGTACTTAAAGAAGAAAAAAATATTAACATTATTAACATACTAGCTTTTTCCTGCGCTAAGTTCGCGTTACACCTCGAATCGTTCATGCCTTGATTTAAATGATTGTTTATCTACCGGGTGCGTCTCAAAAGTGGCTCACCCCTATAACTTTTTTTATTTTTTCAGATTAAAAAACCAAATTTGGTATATTAGTATATGACATAAATTAGGATTAATTGTATTCAATTGTTTTCTGTCACTTCCTGTTTCACCGGAAATGACTACAACTTTTGATTTTTAAATGGCACCCCCGGGATTTTTTTACTTTATTCGATAGAAAATAACACTCTGAATAGAATGACAACAACTGAATAGAATCGCAACCATATGTCAACTTTTGACATTTTCGCATACGGTTTATTACAACGAAAATTTGACTCGAAATACCAAGTGTGTGGTATCAAATTATTCGTAAAAAAATGCTTTTTCCAAATATACTAACGAGCCACCTTCGTTCCATTTGAAAAAATTGAGATATGATTAAAAATACGATTTCAGCATTTTCTAACTGGCCAGGACAAGACACTAAAAACATTAGACGATCAAATCTATTTTTCCAAGGCTCCTTGATTTAGAATTAGTGTTTTTAACATACCCATGGTACTCTAGATTGAATTTTAAAATACAATTTTTTATTAACCGGGAATGTCAAAAGTTGACATATGATATGTCATTCTATTCAGAATGCCATTTTCTATCGAATAAAAAATACCGAGGGTGCCCTTTAAAAATCAAAAGTTGTAGTCATTTCCGGTGAAACAGGAAGTGACCAGAAACAATTGAATACGTCAGTCAATCCTAATTTATGTCATATACTGACATACCAAATCTTGTTTTTTTTAACTGAAAAAATAAAAAAGTTATAGGGGTGAGCCACTTTTGAGACGCACCTGGTATAGATAAAGCTAGTGAGCCTTACAAAAATTCACTATTTAAACTATGATTTTACAGCTATTCGTATTTCATATGAAAGTTTGCAATTGTCGATTTTCTGGGAATTATACAGGGCGAGTCTTGAATAAGTGCAAATATTTTCAGGGCTGCTAAATCTCGATAAAAAAAACATATTTTATTTTACCGTTTTTCAAATAACTCCAAAGTAATCGAGTTATTTTACTTTAAAAATTTCAAAAAAAATATTTTCTGCTTAAATTTTGAGAACCACTGGATCTTTTTGGGTTTTTCTGTCTGATAAATTTTATCTACTACCTATGTTGCCGTATTATCAAGAAATTATGGATTTTAACTAAAAACTAAAAAAAAATCAAAACATTTTTCAAAAAATTCCAATTTTTCAAAAAAAATTGGAGAGAAAATCGTGTTGCTGGCTGTATATCCTGTTGCTGTATATCCTTTATATTTTTGACTTATTACACATTTTTTACTTAAAATTTATAAAGAGCCATCAATAGGCCATTTTTATTCTCTTTAAATATTATTATGTATTTAAACATAGCTTGGATGCACTTGCTGAGCTCTTCAATGCGATCTACAGATCAGGAACGATACCAAACGACTGGTTGGTGTCGACCTTCATTGTGATTCCTAAGAAAGCCAACGAAAGATTATGTAAAGATCATAGGACCATAAGCCTAATGAGCCATACACACAAATTATTTTTAAAAATAATTCACAACCGTGTGTATAAAAAACTGGATAACGACATCAGCGATACACAGTTCGGTTTCCGCAATGGAGTTGGCACGAGAAAAGCATTATTTAGTATAAACGTGTTGACTCAGCGCTGTTTGGATGTTAACAAGGATGTGTACGCCTGCTTTGTGGACTATGAGAAAGCATTTGACAGAGTCCGTCATGAACAACTTATCAAAATTCTGAGAGAAAAGCAAATAGATACCACAGATGCCAGAATTATTGAAAACCTATATTACGACCAAACAGCAAACATCAAGATAGACAATAAATACACGGAAAACAGCAACATCAAACGTGGTGTACGACAGGGATGTATACTTTCCCCGCTATTGTTTAATATGTACTCGGAAGTCATCATGAGGGAGGCATTACACAATGAAGCAGCTGGAGTAGTAGAGTAAAAAAGTAGGTTTAGTAGTAGGTAGTAAACGGTTTCCTATAAACAATATACGATACGCAGATGATACCGTACTGCTAGCAGAAAGTATACAGGACCTGCAACGAATGGTCCAAAAAGTGTATGAAACAAGTATCCATTATGGCTTGAATATCAACCTTAATAAAACAAAATTCATGATATTTACCAAAACACCAAATCAAAATACTCAACTGATCGTAAACCATCAGAAAATAGAGCGAGTCTATAGATATAAATATCTAGGAACCCTGATCAACGACAACAATGATTACTCATCAGAATTAAAAACGAGAATTGAAATAGCACGTAACACCTTTATTAAAATGAAGCAATTCTTTTGTTGCAAAACTTTAAGTAACCACCTTAAAATACGAATGCTAAGATGCTACATATTTACAATAATGCTCTATGGTATAGAAGCTGCCACTCTAACAAAACAAATGCTTAAAAAGATAGATGCCTTCGAGATGTGGCTTTACAGAAGAGTACTCCGGATATCATACGTTGAGAGAATTACCAATGAAGAAGTCTTACGAAGAGTCTCAAAAGATCTAGAATTGTCCCAAGAGGTGAAAATCAGAAAACTCCAATATATGGGCCACGTAATGAGAGGTGCAAGATACAAGCTTTGACAACTAATTATCCAGGGTAAAATAATAGGGAAGAGAAGCATAGGAAGAAGACGGATGTCGTGGCTTCGAAATCTAAGAGAATGGTTCAACTGTACATCAAACGACCTGTTCAGGGCAGCAGTCAACAAAATAAAATTAGTCATGATGGTCGCCAACCTTCGCAAGAAGTCGGCACCTTAAGAAGAAGATGCATTTAAAAAAATCCGAATGTTTTAGAACTCGAACCAAAGTCGAATTTTTTCAAAATCTGAAGAAAGAAAATCTCTCGAAAATAATAAATAGTGAAATGACTATTTACCCTCTATGGATAGAACCCTTATGGTCCCATATAAACTGTATTACTAAAATAAATAGCTTTGACAAAGTTTTCAATTGAGGTTTTCAATTGTCACTTTTTTTGATATACTTCCCTGATTTTTTTATTCCTAGAAGGATGGTTTGAAAAAGAAATATTTCGTTCATATTATTATTGATGTCACTAAATAAACCCTTGTATAAAATTTTATACTTCTAGATGTTATAGTAATGCATTTTCGTACAGCAAACTTTCATTCCCTATTATGTACTCCCTAAGGGTATACATTTCATAAATTTGCTATGTCCAAATAATTGAGTCATGTCTTAAATTATCCTTTGTTCAAATTTTTATGTGTATAATCCGGAGGTCACGAAGGTTTATATACATTTTTACTAACTTTACCCATTTGGTTGATAAATTTCTAAAATCTCTTCTAATTGTTTCTGTAGAATTTCATTCTTCTAGACCAGATAGTTACCGGTTACGTTTAACCGGCACCACGTTGCCTACTTATACTTATATATTTCCTTTTAATCAAAATATTTTAGGAAACAAAAATAAATTAATTATAAATATACAGGGTGGTCCGAACTGTATTCCGGAAACTTCGGCAGTATATTCTGCAGATAAAAATAAGTAAAAAAGTTCGTCTAAATATATGTCCTAAATTGGCTTAATATCGGAGATACAGGCTCTAGAAGTTTCATACAGTTACGCACGTTTAGTTTTATACAGGTACGCACAAAAAGTTATTACTCTTCAAACCAGTTAGATAATATGTAGGTGGCGCCCTCTACAAGTAGGAGTTATATTTACATCAAAATCAAATTTCTCATGTCAAAAAACTCTTAGACACCAATTTTCATCCAAATATTGACGTTACTTCAGAAATTATTTAGGAAAAATAGGAATAAACATGAAACTTCTACTCCCTGTATCTCCGAAACTAACCATTTTAGGACGGACAAACAAAACAAAAACAAAAATTTTTATCCGCAGAATATACTGCCGAAGTTTCCGGAATAATACAGATCGGACCACCCTGTACATTGAGTTATTTGTTCATTATTCTCACCTCGGCCTACTACGCACTGAACTTTGTCCGCCTGTCTCAATACCTTCGCAGCCTCTTCAGCTAATTCTTGTTTGGACCTTGTCAGCCGCTCTCTCCTGACTGGTGACGCCACTGGAGTGCCCCCGTCTACGCCATTGACTGCCCCTGTGACCCGTTCACTTTCGTGCGGAACTGCAATAGAAAAAAAAGTATTTAATTATATCAGTAATAGACAAATACCGTGGTTGAGTTTATTTATGGAGCTATTAAGTTGATATAATTATGTGTATTATTATACATTTTTTGGTTTCTGTGTGATAATATTATTTAATGTTAAGAAAAATGAGTTGATTGTTTAATCATGTTACTTTGTTACTACAGTATGATCGACGGAAGATAATAATATTAATAACAATTTCCTGTGATTAAAAGGTTATAAAAGAGGGTATTACTAAGGGCCTTTGTTTTCCCTATTATGTAACCTCAGGCTATTTCAATAGTATTTTTGGTATTTCCTCCTTAAAAATCCTTCTTTAATAACTACGAATAATTTTTATAAACATTTAGACATTTTCAATACAATTTCTTTAAATTTACTACACATATGTTTAATAAATAATAATAATACTAATATCCTCCTAACTTTATTATACACATTTTTCAAGGCAAATTTAAAATATGCATGTTCTTAGGTAATAAATATAAATAACAGCTTTATTATATGAATAAGCAGTAGATACATAGTTGTCCAAGTATACGGTGTGCACAGCAGTCAACTCGACAATGATATAATTCAATTAGCATAATACATTGACAATACGTAACTAAATGCGAAAATAAACAAGTTTCAATGCCTTACGTGTGACCTCTACTCAATTCGAACATTGTACAAAGACAACAGAAAAAGAAGTTACCTATTCATTTATATTTTAGTAGAGATTTTTAGCATGATTTATGTTTATTTGCTGTTTTAGGTGGCAACATTTTTGTTCTACTGTTTTAAAATATGTATATGTTACAGTAAAAGTTGGAAATCAGTGATTGTTAACAATTACTAGTAAAAGCTCTTGATTTGCTAAAACTACGCTAGTAAAGGTTCAACAGCTATTTTTGAAACCAACTTTTACTAGGGAATGCTAGCATTCCCTGGACGATAGCAGTGAGTTTTAAAGATTCAGTTATTATGTAGAATTTAGAATAAGTGGGAGGGGGGTTAATCTCTGCGACCTTAGAGATCTATTGTGTCCCCCTTTCTTGAATTATAACTCATCATACAGTCCCAGGACTTCCTACGGAGACCCGTGTCCCTCACAGTCGAGGAGCTACGACCCAGGCCGGGTAGACGAAACGGTAGCTTGTGTCGCCTGTTGGGTTTAGAGGTAGGAGGTAGGCTCCCGACCCTTGGAGGAGGTGGTAGCTTGTATGCCACTTGCGGAGGATGGTCTCACGCAAGTGTCAGCCACCTCTCCTGTAGTTCTCTTTGGGTTTGGCCCCTTGGAACTTTCATTGTTACTGTTCCCAGTGTCGCTAGGGGGTTTCCCCACAGCTTCACCGGTGATGTTTTTATTACTATTATTACCAGATCTCATAGTGTTCCTATGAGTCGCTAGGGACAGTCGGTCCACTTCTACAGAGCCCCGCATGTAGAAGTAAGGGGTAAAATACAATGGGGTGCCCCCCGGTGCCCCAAGGTTGAGGCTGTCCGTAGCCCCGCCCGGTATCGTTATATGTCTTGGTGCAATTCCCTGGCCACGACACTACAGTCAGGAACAAGACGATGAGTGAGATGCTTCTTAGACCAAGCCAAGTGCTAGAGGGGATTCCCCCCAGCACCTGACCAGGAGCTTCCCCACCAACGACAAGGTCTTGCATCTCCTAGGGGAAGCAGTTATTATGTATAAATTAGGATAAGTTGAATAATATAAGAATAACATTAAATTGGGATAAACGTTGGCAACGTTGGCAAATATCTGGCGTAAATTCGCTTTGTTTTTTGTGGATATGTATAATTGTTTTGTTATCGTTGTAAAAAGTGCTGTCCAGTATTTTCCATATGGAAGAAATTTTCGGTAAAAAATTAAGGTAAACTAGGCACTCGCAAGAAAGGAATAGTGCTTGTTTTTCATTTTTGCAATATAATGTAGTCATAGCAAAAGTAAAGCGTGCAAGAGAAAAATATATAAGGAACCTAGTGACTATGAACTTATTAAACGTTTTCATATGCTTAAAGTAGCGGGTTTGAAAAAAACGAATAATTCCCGGTGAAGAAAATTCGGGCATATTTTATTTTGTCTACGATGAAGAACTTTATTAAAAATACCTTGCACCAATAAGTAATCTTATGTTTATGAATGTATTTTTAATTTGTTTTGTACGCTTTAAAATGTTTACTATGTTTTCCCTTTTAATATTTATAATTTTTAATAAATATACTAAAGAAGTAAATTGTAATTTTAAGATATGTGGATCAGCTTGAATATTGAGATGATCCAAATATTCTTAAGAGTTTTATTTGTTCTCACTTACACCAACATTCTTCCTCACCACACTCGCCTTGTACAATCCAAACCAAATCAAAACAAAAAGTAAAACAAAAAAATAAATAATAACTTATTTATTTATTAAAATTTAAAAAAGTTTAATACCAAAAACTATAAGTAATTATTGTTATTTTATATTTATTATAATAGTTAATATATTTAATAATTATATTTATAATATATTTTGAGCGTCTGATTATTATATGGTTTATATGATGAATATTGATGATCATTATTAATTCATTTTAACAAAAAAACTCTAGCTATTACTTTAAAGACAAATAAAATTAAATGTTAGCTTCTGCACGTTTAATCAATAAATTTTATAATTTATTACATCTAATTGGAGATTATGAACAATAAGAATACCTAGTAATATTACTTTCAGAAATGTATAATACCCATACACACACTTTTACTTGTTTTTATTAGGTATACAAAAAAACAAATGCATGACCTTTACCTTACGGGTTTTTAGATATATTTCTGAGTAGTAAAACTTATTGTTTATAGGTTTGCAACAATCGGAAAATACTATATACACACATTTTTTCAATTGTATGAAAAAGAAATATAAAAAATAAAATGTATGACCTTTAGTTTCTCATTTTTTTATAGATTGGTTTCTGTGGAAATTGATTCCTTTATTACGCGTTCTTTCTGGTTCTATATTATCAATCTATCCATGGGATTTTGCAATACAATCCTAATAATTAGCAAGAACATATGAAATTTATCACATTTTTTTGTATGAGCTCGTTACAGCATTTTATATAAAAAATCTAAAAAAAAGTTTATATAATTCGATTTCAGTATGTTCTTTTGATGATAATAATGTTATAAAATAATGAATTAATACCCCACAACCAAAGAATCATACTTCTTCAGCTAATGGTAAACTGCTGATGGACACATTCCATCCAGTTTGAAAGGACCCACTCCAGGAAAGTTGTCTCGATATAATTCGGTTTTAATATATTCTTTTGATGATAATAATGTTATTTAATAATGAATTTATACCCCCCATCCGAAGGATCCTAATTCTTCAGCTAATGGTAAACTGCTGATGGACACATGCCATCCAGTTCAAAAGGACCCAGTCCAGGAAAGTTTTCTCGTTATAATTCGGTTTTAATATATTCTTTTGATGATAATAATGTTATTTAATAATGAATTAATAGCCCACAACCGAAGAATCATACTTCTTCAGCTGATGGTAAACTGCTGATGGACACATTCCATCCAGTTCGAAAGGACCCAGTCCAGGAAAGTTTTCTCGTTATAATTCGGTTTTAATATATTCTTTTGATGATAATAATGTTATTTAATAACGAATTTATACTCCACAACCGAAGAATCCTACTTCTTTAGCTAATGATAAACTGCTGATGGACACATGCCATCCAGTTCGAAAGGACCCAGTCCAGGAGAGTTTTCCCGTTATAATTCGGTTTTAATATATTTTTTTGATGATAATAGTGTTATTTAATATAATGAATCAATACCCACAACCAAAGAATCATACTTCTTCAGCTAATGGTAAACTGCTGATGAACACATTCCATCCAGTTCAAAAGGACCCAGTCTAGGAAAGTTTTCTCGTCATAATTCGGTTTTATATATTCTTTTGATGATAATAATGTTATTTAATAATGAATTAATAGCCCACAACCGAAGAATCATACTTCTTCAGCTGATGGTAAACTGCTGATGGACACATTCCATCCAGTTCGAAAGGACCCAGTCCAGGAAAGTTTTCTCGTTATAATTCGGTTTTAATATATTCTTTTGATGATAATAATGTTATTTAATAATGAATTTATACCCCACAACCGAAGAATCCTATTTCTTCAGGTAATTGTAAACTGCTGATGGACACATGCCATCCAGTTCGAAAGGACCCAGTCCAGAAAAGTTTTCTCGTTATAATTCGGTTTTAATATATTTTTTTGATGATAATAATGTTATTTAATAATGAATTTATACTCCACAACCGAAGAATCCTACTTCTTTAGCTAATGATAAACTGCTGATGGACACATGCCATCCAGTTCGAAAGGACCCAGTCCAGGAGAGTTTTCCCGTTATAATTCGGTTTTAATATATTTTTTTGATGATAATAGTGTTATTTAATATAATGAATCAATACCCACAACCAAAGAATCATACTTCTTCAGCTAATGGTAAACTGCTGATGGACACATGCCATCCAGTTCGAAAGGATCCACTCAAGGAAAGTTTTCTCGTTATAATTCGGTTTCAATATATTCTTTTGATGATAACAATGTTATTTAATAATGAATTAATACCCCACAACCGAAGAATCATGCTTCTTCAGCTAATGGTAAACTGCTGATGGACACATTCCATCCAGTTTGAAAGGACCCACTCCAGGAAAGTTTTTTCGTTATAATTCGGTTTTAATATATTCTTTTGATGATAATAATGTTATTTAATAATGAATTTATACCCCACAACCGAAGAATCCTATTTCTTCAGGTAATTGTAAACTGCTGATGGACACATTCCATCCAGTTCGAAAGGACCCAGTCCAGGAAAGTTTTTTCGTTATAATTCGGTTTTAATATATTCTTTTGATGATAATAATGTTATTTAATAATGAATTTATACTCCACAACCGAAGAATCCTAC